CAACTGCGCGTGCTGCCTTGGCCATGACTCAAGAGTTCGTGCAACGGCTTGCCGGGACGTGTCTGACCTCAAGCCCAAAAGCCTGTGCAGAGCAGCCTTGAGATAGAAGGCATGAGAATATGGACGCTTCGACGGTTCAACGTGACGACTGCGACAACCTCAACCGCCACTATGACCCTGAACACCATCTCTTCGGTGTCAGAGACGACCGGACTTCCTCAAACACTCTCAGGCCTTCTGACACAGATATGCTGGGAGACTCGAAGCGAAAAACGCTCTGGGACAACAAGCCCAAATGCCCCAAGCACGGCATGGAATCATACGTCGGAAGAAACAGCTTCAGCAAGCATGGACCAAGACGATGAGGGACAGCAGGGCGATTTTCCAGCTGAAGCCGGTTCCCTTTGGGAGAGCCGAACAAACAAGACCTGAAGCCGCAGAGTTCTTGACGCTGCAGGCTGCAGGCGTAGATAAAGCGAAGAGTGATTGGGCTATCTGCTTCGCAGGACGCCTTCCCGCATCAGCTGTGCTGCAGTGACTTCACCACCCATGGGGCCCTACACAGGGGCGACCGCCACTTTAGAGCACTTAGGGTTGAGCAAAGATCTCTTGAAGTGCCGGGGTCCTACAACGCAGTTGACATGAAAACATGCTGGGTCTCAGTTTGCATGAAACCTACTGTTTGGAAACGAGCCTGCGAAGCGAATACAGCTTGCGATAAGAAATCGTCGTCAAGGCCTTCTAGAAGGGAGCGGCCCATGTTCTCATCCATGAACATCCCGGCCATGCCTGCCCAATTACTTTAGGACCTTTGAGCATGACTCTGTTCATCCCTCTGCCTATCTGTGTAAATGCATGTATACATATGCAAGCATGCATACAAACAAAAAAACGCATGTAGACATACATGCAATTTGGCATATGTATACATATATATATATATATATATATATATAAACACCTTCACTTTGTTTATGTTTGAACAAGGAACCGCGGGGCTGACCTTCTGCTTATATATATCCGTGTATGTGTATATATATATATATATGCATGCACACACACACACACACCTGTGTATAAGTATATACATATATATTTATATTATGTGTGTATGGATGCGCACGTGAATGTATACACGTATATATATATCTACCTAAACATATACATACCTGCATATGTACATAGAGTGTGTTTGTTTATGTATACGTACACACAGACGAACATGTGTGTAAATATATAAATATAACGAAATATAAATATATATATATATTCATATATATATATATATATATATATATTTGTTTGTTTGTTTATTTATGTATTTATGCATATATCTATTTATTCAACACAGAACAAATATACATGTGTATATATATATATATACATACATACATACATAAATATAGATAACCCCCCCCCCCCCTCATGTGCCCACGTTTTGGGTGTTTGACGGAGGAGTATCCCGGAGTCAGGCTTCACAAACGGGAGCAACAGGTCGCATACCGCATGACATAACGCAATGACCCCTGGTGTTTTTCCCAGCTGTCGGAAGGTGCGGATACTCTGATACATTACTAATATCGCAATCAGCGTCATTACAGAAGTATTCAACCAAGTATGGCGTAAGTGCTGGATGGGAAGGGTTTTGGGAAGGGTTTAAGTAAAAGCTAAACAGCAGCCAAACAAGAACTGCTTGTAAACGAAAGATTTCGAAGAATTGTTCGTAGATTCGTTTGCCACTTATATTCGATTCTAACTGACTTGGTTTTGACATGATGCCAACATCTCATGGAGTAGCAACACAATCCACGGCAAAACCGGACGTTGGATTGTATAGAAACACAAATATATATATATATATATATATATATATATATACAATACCTATACACGTATATAGATATATATGTATGTATGTATTCATATATATATATATACACAACTTAAAAATCAGGCAATGTATGCCAAATTCATTGTCATATATGAGTAATACGGACCGGATTACATGGCCTTCTGCACGAGTGATAACAAGACTCATGCGTAAGCGACATGGGTTCTCAGCAGTTCGTTTGCATCAGCCTTATACAAGGCAGATGTAATGTGGCAATACTATTAGGGTTTAGGGTTTAGGGTTTAGGGTTTAGGGACAATGAAAGGAGTATTAACAACACTAGTAGTAACAACAATAGCCGTCATCGCCATTCGCATTATTATCCTCTGTCATAGACGAATCGAACCAGTTTTTTCCCAACCGCCCCGACCCCTCTCCGCACACGCCAGCCACGCCAGCCCCCCCCCCCGCACCCCTACCCATGGGGGCGGTATATATATATATATATGTATGTGTATGTACATGTATGTATGTATGCACGTATGTATGTACGTATGTATATATATATATATATATTTATATTTATTTATTTATTTATTTAGACAAGTATGTGTGTACATATGTACATAGTATATACATATAGAAGTGACTCAATTCGACTGAAACTCGGTTAGGTACGCAAAGCAAAAGCAAGCAAGCAAGCAAGCGAGCGAGCGAGCGAGCGAGCGAGCGAGCGATCAATCAATCAAGCAAGCAAGCGAGCAAGCGAGCAACCAAGCAAGCACGCTTGGCTGTCAGTCAGTTAGTCGGTCAGTAGTAAGTAAGTGAGAATTACTGGCATGTACGCAAGTAGGTGAGTAAGTGAGTGAGTGAGTGAGTGAGTGAGTGAGTAAGTAAGTAACGCAATAAGTAAACACGTACGGTAATTAAGCATGCAGGCAAGCAAGTGTGCACACATTATATCATGCACTTGTCTGCATTGGCTTGTTATGCTTACTCCATCTTCTTGCAGATGTTAGCTCTCTACGGGGAGATTCCAAATGCGAGGCACGGATTTATTCAAACACTTTCAATTCGCCTTCCCGCAACACACGCGCTGCAGCTGCACCACCACCAGCCATCTGGCCCTGATGCAGGGAGAGGAGACTAGATCACCGGCGACATAGAAAGATCAATTATATAATTGTCTGGCCCTCAACATATATAATATATAACATATAATATATAATATATAATGTATAATATATAATATATAATAGACGATATATAATATATAATGCATACTACATCAGGTCACACAAGGAACACCAGGGAGGCCTGGGACCGCAAAGCATGCTCAAGCTCCTCGTCTGAGTCGTCTGCCAGCATGAGCCGCCCGATTTCCGCATCCAAGTCCCCCTGCCGGCTGTGGCTCGGGTATTACATTATATATTATATACTATATAATATGATATATTATATACCATATAATATGATATATTATATACCATATAATATTATATATTATATACCATATAATATTATATATTATATAATACTATATATCATATATTATAATACCGTCTCTGGCCTTCGGTTGGCGCGATCCGCTGCCGGGGATTCCGAGGTGTGGCTGGCCGGCCTGAGGGGTCCAGTGCCCGGCCAGCCATTCTTTGAAGGTGGCCGGGGCGGGCACATCACCCGCTCGGCCGTTCTCCTCAAGCATGCGAGCCAGGCTGTTGTTGAAATCGACAGTTCGCTGGTGGACACCGCCCAAGGTCTGGCGGCTGCTCTCGAGGCCTTCGCGGAAGAGCTGCTCTGCCTCCTGAATCCGCCCGGCTTCCTTCAACAGGACTCCCATCTCATGCATACTTTCCAGTGTATCAGGGTGACCTCGCCCCATCTTCTCACGTCGCCCCTTCAGTGCCTGGCTGCAGAGCTTCTGTGCCTCACTCAGCTCACCCTGCTGGTGCAAGGCACAAGCCAAAGAGTGCATGGCACCCAAGCTGTCCGGATGCGTCGCTCCCAACTTCTCAAGCGTTTGCTGAAGCTTCCGCCGTAAAGCATGGGGAGACCCCTGTGCAGTCTGGGCCCCTTTCTCAGGCTTCCCTTCGGAAGGTGGACCGCCACTCATGTGATAAAGCATGTCAGCCTCATGGAAATTGCCCTTCTCCTTCAACACTGCCGCCAGATCGCGCATGCCCTGCCGGGTTACATCGTGTTCCGGGCCGTGCTCTGCAAGAGCCGCCTTCAGCTTGCCACGTGCTTCTTGCTCGCGTTGCTCGCGTGTACGCCGATCCTCGCCTGTTGGTGCTACCATGGCTTTCTTCTTGGCAAGGAGCAATGCGGCCTCATCATGCTTGCCCATGTCCTCAAGCAAGGCAGCAAAGGCCGCCTTGCAGCCGAGGGTGTCGGGATGGTCGTCTCCAAGCTCACTTCGGAGACCCTTCAGGGCCTTCCGGAAGAAGGGCTCTGCATCATAGAGCTTTCCCTGCTGGTGCATCAACCCGGCTAAGGCCGCCAAGCTCTTGTCTCTTTCGCTCTCCTTGCCAGCTTGGCCTTCTCTACGCATCGCATAGAGCTGGGTGAGGAGGGGCTCTGCCTCCGAATATTTACCGCGCCCCTGGTACCTGGAAGCTAGCTCGCCCATACACTTTAGGGTCTTCTCGTCCTTCGGACCCCGTTTCCAAAGTAGCTGCAGGCGCTTCTCCAAGACATCTGAAAGGGCATCAGACTTCATCTGGGCATGCTGCACCGAGCCCCCCTGGTCTGTGATTTGAACCACCCAAACATCCCTATTTCCATGTACCTTCCGACCCTTGATGTCTTCGCCCAGATTCAGAGGTCGTCCCTCGATGCGAATCTGGGCCATGTCAGGCGTGTGCCTCTCGAAGATATTGTGGGCAAGCTTCTTTGGGACTATCAGCGGCACGCAGAAACCGGCCCGGTGGCCGTGCGCGTTGCCTTGGCCCCACTCTTGGTTCCTCTTCTCGCCGTCCTCATCGAAGGGATCCGCACGCAGTGGGTCCAGATTGCTGTAGTTGTTTAGCAGGGCGCGTATCCTCTCCCGCCACACGGTAGGCTCATACTGCGTGGTGTAGACACCCTGGGCACAGGGACCGCTAAACACTTCTCGAGACGAGGGGACAAATCTGTGAGGTTTGCTAGGGCCTTGCCGAAGTGGGCACGCTCGGCAACAAGCGAAGCAAACAGCTCCGCCGCAGACTGCCTGACGGCAGCCAGTTTCACGGAGGGAGAAATCTCATAGACTTGAATATGGGGTGCCGAGGGCCACGATCTACATAGAGTAGGATGCAGATCTACTCTGCTTAGGGCCCAACCTCATGTTGCCCACGTTTTGGAAGCCAAGCTCGTTGGTGTAGTGGTAGAGAATGATGACACCATCAGCCGCAGGCGCGAGATCTTGCAAATTGAAAGCATGTTGCCAGGTTTGTATGGTGCCATCTGGTCCGTCGTATCGGAATGTCGGTATGTCGTTCACTGCATCCTCCTTGTAGTACCTACCTGATCAGGGGCCACGACTGCCGCAAAGCATCGGGAACCACCTCCCATATTCAGCCGAGCTTCCTTCGTAGAGCTCACCCTTGAGGTACTGGCCGGAAAAGTAGGCCGACAGCTCACTGCTTTCAGTGCAAAGCCGCGGTGCGGCCATGGCTCGCCTCTAGCCCCCACTTCAACCTTCAGGAATCGGATCCCCTTTAAGAAGGCGTCTCTATACTATCACTCTAGTATACTACAGCTATACACTTATGATGTATCATATTGTACTATAAACCTACCTACGGAATCATGACTCCCTGCTTCGTCATGGGACCTCGCAGGGGAGGATCAGTGGCCCGAGCCAAGCTTTGAGCACATCCACGATTCAGCAGCGCGATTCGTATCCCTAGTTGCACAGGCGCTGGCTACTGCTCCTCACCTCGCTTTTTTCAGCTCCATCTCTGTAATGGCTGATAGTTTGTCAATCAAGAAGCAAGGGTCGAAGGTGCAGGGGCTAAGGGCCTCTGCCGCTCATTCATTCCCCTTGTCATCAAGAGCCAACGCCCTTGTCATCAAGAGCCAACACGAGACTTTCAGAATCGTGTCTTAGAACGGGCTCGGTTTGCGATTCTTCAGGTACCTGGGCAATCATCGGAACATATTCGACCACATCAATGGGCACGTGCTGCTGACTCCGACGTACTGCCTCTGGCATCATGTCTTTTTGTGATTGCTGCTTCCAAGTGTCTCCTGCAACTGAGGAAGAGCATCGACAGCTTCCAGTGCGGCTTTGATCTTCGGGCTGTCCTGCACGGAAGGCTGGCTGCAACGTCCCTTGGCTCTGCCCTGCGCAGTCGTATTAGTACCCTTGGTCTTCTATCATGACCACCCTTGCTCTTGCCAGGCGCACCCCACGTCTTCAACAGGCCCTAAACCCGACAAACCACAGAACATAACCCCCTAAACTCTGAAATAAACCACAGAACATAACCCCCTAAACTCTGAAATCGAAGCGCCAACCCAGCCCTCAGCTCTGCCTCCTAAACCTACCTAAAACTAAATACGTCGTACTTTAAGTGTTGGTACTAGTATTCATACCAGTACTAATATTAATATCACTATCAGTATCAATATTAGTCAATTTTAAAAAAGTTCTTGACCCTGAATCCTGACACCTCAACAAACCCTAGGATCTGAATAAACCCCAAAAGAGACCCTACATGTGAAACAGACCCTGAAAACTGAAAAATGCTAGAAAAGAAACCGAAACCCAAAATCCGACCCTCAACCCCAAACCCTACATCCTGCACAAGTCCTAAACCCTACATCTTACACAACCCTAAACCCCACATCCTACATGAACTCCAGACCCTACTTCCTAAATCAATGCTCGACCCGACACTGCCCTGCATGCTACATCCTACTACACAAACCCCTAAACGCTAAACCCTAAACCCTGAACCGAAACCCTAAACCCTACAGCCTGAATCCAACTTAAACCGACAACCCTACATTCAAACCCTCACGCCACCCCCCAACTCCCCCAAGCCCTAAACTCTAAACCCTAAGCCCTGAACTTCTCTAAGTCCTATGTACACCCTTAACTCTGAACCCTAAGCCCTAAACCCAAAAGGCCCTATACCATAAACCCTAAACCCGAAACTAAGCCCTAAACCCAAAGCCCCAAACTCCCCAGTCCTGGAAAGAAGCCTTGGCTGCCTCCGTGTTGTCAAAGAATCCTCGGCCGCTCTTTGGGCAGCGCTTGCAACGGAACTTCCCCCAATTTGGGACTTAGGTTTGGGGAGGGATTTGGGAGGTATGGAGATGGGGATTTACGTAGGGTTTAAGGTTTATAGGTTTAAAAGGGTTTTGGGTTGAAAGTCTTTCTTGGATGGGTCCCTTTCTGCTTCCGGGTCATAGGTGTGAGGGTTTTTCATTGAGGCATTGGGCTGCGTGTCAAGTCGGGCGGCTGCCGAGTGCTTCCTTGGTTGGCGGCTCGCCCGGGTTTAGGGTTCAGGGGCTTTAATTTAGGGTTTAGGGCTTTTAGGTTTTAGGGTTTAGGGGTTTTGGTACTCCAGGATTCTCGTGCTCAGAGTCTTCAATTTGTTTCATGCGGTGCAGGATTTAGGGTCTAATGACAGAGGCTGTTGTTTTTGCCGGGCAGTGGGGGGCGGGGGGGGGGGGGGGG